ATATATATATATATATATATATATATATATATATATATATATATATATATATATATATATATATATATATATATATATATATATATAATTTTCCCTTTTTTGTTTACATATGAACCATCTAGTTCGAAAAGGATGAGGAAGTATTGAGCACTATGTCTGCTATTTGCGGTGAAAACAGCATGGACATATGGAAAAAACTCGTGAAGAGTGATAGGACTGATTATAGAACAGCTACGTATTTGTTATTACTTGACAGAAAACTACGCGGATTTTCATTGAAAATAACGCCTATAACAAGATCATATCTCAAGACAGAAATGGTTAGTGCAGCTACTCTTTATTCTTTAATATAAAATCTATATATTTAGTTGTACATTTTTTATTATTTCGAATTCTAGAACGGCCCGAGCCTTCTAAAACGCGAAGCAGAAATGAATAACTTTATAACTAAACTCGACCATTCTCCAAGAAATAAAATGAACAACAGATCTCCAGTTGATGTTACATATAATGTTTTGCCCAAAAATCTAGACAAAGGTGAGAGTAATTTCACAGAACCTTGTATACCAGTACGGAAAAGATTACGAAGCAGAGAACCTGATGATGTATCATCTCCTGGTAAGTATTTGATGCTTATATCAATATATTAATCTTTTTAACATCAGTCAATAACACTAAGAAAAAATTTCATTAAATGTTATAATAAATTGCTATAATGTACGAGTATTAACAAGTTTCACTTTTTTTTATTTTATAAACTTTATTTTTTTTAATCTTAAAAGATATCTTTTAATTTATATAATTTCTAGATTCTTATAATTTTAATTTTTTTTATCGATTATTTTGATATTTTTGATATTTTTGATATTTTCGGCTGCAAAATTTTCACTGCGCCAATTTTTAGTACTACTTATAAACGCACATTTTACGTACAACTATTTATTGTATTGCGCCGCAGCTGCAATTAGTCTCGTAGTTGTATTTTCTAAAGTTCGCTTCTAATTAGGTGATGCCAGCACCACCTAATTAGAAACTTTAATGAAAGTTCGCGAGTGCAATAAATTACGGTAGTCTCGCGAAAAGCGGATAATTACCTGGAGAAGAGCAACGACTTGCTAACAAACGCAATTTGAACTTAAGAGAATCACCATATACAAGAATCCTCATCCGAAACTCCTCAGAAGATTCCAACATTCCTCAAGCTCTCAACCACGTTTTTAAATCCTATGTTTATCCAGTAGAGTATAGAATATTTATTTATTCTATTATATACATACTTAGATATGTACATCCTCACATATATATACTACTTTCTCTAAATATATTTATTGAAGTGATATATAATTAACACATTTAAGTTACATGTTTAAAAGATCTTATCTTTGTAATGTTATCATCCTAGCGAAAAGATCGACTGAAAAGGATAGAATGAGTAGTACTCCAACGCAATCCGTAACACCGGAGCCCAGGTAATTTTTTGAATAAATAACACGAACTAGAAATGTCAATGTTATTTTGTGAAAAGGAAAATACGATATATGATATCTTATTAATAACTATTTCTGTAGGAGTACTCAAACGTCTACACCCGGTAGTGCGAGAAAAGTGATGATGGGTTTAGAGCGAGGATTGAATCGGGTAAGATATGTTCTCACGCCGAAGAGGCGAATAAAGAACGAAAATACGGATCCCGATGAACCGAACATATTGTCGGGGAAGGTATGTGATTGGACGAAAAATATCTGAGGTTATGAGAAATTGCATTTATATAAATGTTCGTAAATTATATTTTATTTCTTTTATATTTTATATTTTATCAAAGGGCCTTTCCAATGTGTCTTCAACATGCAGCGCATGTCCACAATATGTTCTTTCAAAACTACGAAGGGCGCTTCGGCGAAAGGGTATAATGTGTCGACAGAAAGGGTGATTATAATTTCACCATTTCAACGATTTGTTTTCAGTCGTGATAACAATTATGTTATCAAAATCTCTAACATCTTTGTAGATTTATCTTGCAAGGGGAAACTGAGGAGTCTTTCTCAGAAGATAAAAAGAACTCACCAAAGTCGATCTGCTCCCAGAATTCCTGTTCCTTCGAACTCGAGGTCTGTCTTTTGGAGACAGGTTCGAATGACAAGCCATTAGTTGGCATTCGTCGAAAGAGGTTGAAGGGCGACGCGTGGGTGTATAAGCGCGTTTGCGAGGAAGTTCTTGCTCTGGCAGCAGAGGATATCTCTATAGATCAGGAAGGTTCTTCCGAGTCCAAGTGTCCTATTTGAGATAATTGTCGTAGTTGTATGTTCATCTACGATATATATATATATATAACTCTTAATACACATATACGTCCTCAATAATCCGAGATATGCTTGCACATATCTTGATCTCTTAGATATTAACAGTATTAAGATGTATATTTCTCATAGAGAACCGTATGAACTGTATGTGCAACAGTTAATGTGAGTCTTGAACATTATTATGCAATTCTTAACTATATTAATTCTAAACTATGTTAGATGCATCGCTGTTATGGTGAGATATATTTTGTCGTACGTTTATCTTCTAGTGAGAATTATATATGACTAAACAAAGATAAAGAATATTCCTACGGTACGGGTTATAATCGTATAAGTACAAAAAAATAAAATGTAATAATATGCGATATCAAATTTTAATAAATTTTATACATTTCATAAACTTAGACTTTTATCACTTTTACTCCAAAAAAAATAGATAATATCTATATATAGGATATTATAATAAAAATTTGCAATTCTAGATAAATCATGATACAACAAATTTTGGGAATACATTTTATGCATTAGCAGTTTATGTAATTGTTGAATTCTTTCTCTGTGTATATCACGAAACACACACGGTATATTGGTCCTAAGAGCGTTCCGACTAAAGCTATCGACTATGGACGGCACAAAGAAATTTCTTGCGAGTAGCTCTTCGAGCCTCGGCTCTTTCTGTCCGGAATATGTAAAGCTCAATTTCGCGTTTATACCGCAGATATAAAGTATCGCGGCCCGTTTGAACCGCGGCATCTCCGCCGCCGGTATAGAACTATGGACAGGCGAAGATATAAAATCACCACAAATCGATCAGCATAAAGTGAAGCCGCGTACACTTCACTTTATGGGGGAAGGCGAACCGACCTTTTATCTTTGCCCGCTCAATAATCGCTGGTCTTTTCCCCAAGAGAGGAGGCACGTATATAACTCTCGCGCACGTATAGAGAGAGAGAGAGAGAGAGAGAGAGAGAGAGAGAGAGAGAGAGAGAGAGAGAGAGAGAGAGAGAGAGA